GTACCACCTCACACCAGTCAGAATAGCCATCATTAATATATCTACAAAACAAATGCTGGAGAGGGTGTGGAGAAAAGGGAAACTTCCTACACTGTTGGTGGGAATGTAAGTTGGTGCAGCCACTATGGAGAACAGTATGGAGGTTCCTCAGAAAACTAAAAATAGAATTACCATATGATCCAGCAGTCCCACTACTGGGCATATATCTAGACAAAACTATTATTCAAAAAGATACATGCACCCCTATGTTCACAGCAGCAGTATTCACAATAGCCAAGACATGGAAACAACCTAAATGTCCATCAACAGATGAATGGATAAAGATGTGGTACATATATACACTGAAATACTACTCAGCCATAAAAAAGAATGAAATAATGTCATTTGCAGCAACATGTATGCAAGCAGAGATTATCATACTAAGTAACTCAGAAAGAAAAAGACAGATACCATATGATATCACTTATATGTGAAATCTAAAATATGACACAAATGAACCTAACTATGAAACAGAAACAGAATCACAGACATAGAGAACAGACTGAGGGTTGCCAAGGGGGAGGAAGTTGGGGGAGGGATGAAGTGGGAGGTTGGGGTTAGCAGATCTAAGCTTTTATATATAGAATGGATAAACAACAAAGTCTTACTGTATAGCACAGAGAACTATGTTCAATATCCTGTGATAAACCATAATGGAAAAGAAGATAAAGAATGTATATATGTATAACTCATCACTCTGCTGTACAGCAGTAATTAACACAACATTGTAAATCAATGTCAATAAAAAATATGTCAATTTTTATGTCAATAAAAAGTAATAAATAAAATTTATAAAATATGGTGATGGCTTAAGAGAACAAAAACAAAAATGTCTGGTATTTCTACCCTCAGTGAATTTTTTTCCCTTTCTAAGGTAAAAAACTGGAAGTCCTCAACCCTCAGCACCTACCTACCATGGCACCCGACCTAGAAACAATCAAAATTTAGTTAGTATATATTTGTTCAAATGTTTCCTTATACAGACATGTCTATGATTATCTATACATATTCATTTTCTTATAACATCACTTGTTAGATAATATTACATGATGTAAATATGTGATATCTTATTTACTATCCCCTTGCTTATTTTCAGTTATATGAATCTTAATTTCTCACTATGATGCTATAAATGTCTCTATTATTTTCTCAAAATATATTCCTAAAAGTTTTTCTCTCCATTGAGACTAGGATCTCCCAAACTTACTTAACATCAGAAAAGAGTTTACACTATTTTGACCCAGTCAGAATAGGACCTAATGAAAAAATAATTCAGGCTGGGGAGTAAAGTGTTGACCGGTAGTCAAAGAAATATTAATAAAGGTTCTTCACATAGAAAGAAAATGGAAGGAAATGGAAATAAAAGGAAAATGGAAGCATCAAAACACAGGAAGAAACTAAGAGCCCCCAAACTATAAACTCAATAAGGTAAGTCCCCCAAAATATTATATCTACTAATAATAGGGGACTTACCTTATTCAGAAAGTGACAAGAATACTAATTATTTAGAAGGAAAATTACAGAAAGAAGAAAGAAGATCATTACATAAGAAGCAATGGTACATATCCTAGAGTGGCCACTAAAAGAATAATAAAAGTAATGTATAATTAAGATAACTAGGAAAAAAACTGATTTATCCAAAAGAAGGCAAAAAAGGAGAAATAAAGGAAGAAAGAACAGATGGGATAAGTAGAAAATAAATTGCAGCATGGTATACTTAAACACAAATATATTAATAATACATTAAATGAAAATGTACTAAACACTTATTTAAAAAGACCAAGATTATCAGACTGGATTTTTAAAAACCAGCCAACCTTTTTTGGGGGGAGGCACAAGGGATCATGAGAGGCATAGGGGATTGGGAGGCACACTGGGCCGAGTGCCTGGCTGTGAGCGCAGGGGAGAGAAAAAAAAAGAAAGACTATATACTGTTTATAAGAGGCATACTTTAAATATAATCTTTAGAGCACCACAAGGCACTGTGATTCAGGAGGTCTGGGGTGGCATCCCAGAAAGAGCATTTGGGCTGATGGGCTTTGTCTGTTCTACACATCATATCCTCTGCCTTCTCCTTCTTCCATTACCAATTCAGTGGCAGGAAAAAAGAGGTTGCCTGCTGGCTCTTGCTGCCCTGGTCTCACAAATACATTCCTTTGTTGATTCATATATTAATTTGGCAAATATTTACTAATGACTACTACCTATTTTGTTCTAAGAGTTGGGAATACAAAGGTGAACAGAATACAGCCCCTCCCTTTGTGGAGTTAATATTCTAACAAAGGAGAAAGACACTAAACATAAGGTCATACACATATATACACTAACATGTACAAAATAGATAACTAGTGAGAACCTGCTGTATAGCACAGGGACCTTTACTCAGTGCTCTGTGGCTACCTAAATGGGAAGGAAATCCAAAAAAGAGGGGATATATGTATACGTATAGCTGATTCACTTTGCTGTATAGGAGAAACTAACACAACATTGTAAAGCAACTATACCCCAATTAAAAAAAACCAAAACAACCCCATATGGTCATACAGTGTCATGTACTATTAAATACTATGACAAAAAACAAGGTAAGGTAACTGAAAGTTACAGGAGTGTTTGTGTAAGATAAAGTAAGATAAAGTAATGTAGGGCTTCCCTGGTGGCGCAGTGGTTAAGAATCCGCCTGCCAATGCAGGGGACACGGGTTCAATTCCTGGTTCAGGAAGATCCCACATGCCGTGGAGCAACTCAGCCTGTGTGCCACAACTACTCAGCCCGCGCTCTAGAGCCCACAAGCCACAACTACTTAGCCTGCATGCCACAACTACTGAAGCCCACGCACCTAGAGCCCGTGCTCCCAACAAGAGAAGCCACCACAATGAGAAGCCCGTGCACCGCAACGAAGAGTAGCCCCCGCTCGCCACAACTAGAGAAAGCCCGCACGCAGCAATGAAGACCCAACACAGCCAAAAATAAATAAATAAAAATAAATTTATTTTTAAAAAAAGTAATGTAAAACTTAACAAAGAGGTGATTTTTGAACAAAAATCTGTCAAGACATAAAGTGGGAGAGCCAGCCATGTCATCATCTAGGGAAGAATTACAGAAGAGGGAGGAGCAAACGCAAAGGTTTAGAAATAGAAGGTAGCTTGGAACATTTGAGGAACAGCAAGTTGACCAGTGTGACTGGAACAGAGAGCAGTAAAGACTTGTGGAAAATGAGGTCTGGGGTAGCCAGGAGCTGGATCATGTAGGACCTTATAGGCCCAGGTAAGGAAACTGGACTTCATTCCAAGTAAAATGGGAAGCAAACAAAGTTTCTGGGCAAAGGAGTGAAATAATGTGTTCCATCACACTGAGCACACTGCTCCCTAGAGTCCTTCATTATTTTCTACCACCCTCTTTAAATCTCTCACCATCATGTGTGTTACTGACCCTCAATATATAGTACAACTTCCTACATCTGACAGTCACTAACTAGTGATGTGTATACATCACTTTCCTTCCTTGGCTTTTTCCTCATTTGTAAAACAAGTGTCTTAGACAAGATCACCTGTAATTTTCTTCCTGGCTTTATCATTTTATGAACCTACATCTTTGCTGTCTAATACACTAGCTACTAGCCACACGTGGTTATTTAAATCTAAATCAATTAACATTTAAAAATTCAGTTCTTCAGTCACACTAGTACATACAAGTGCTCCACAGCCACATGTGGCTAGTTGCTACTGTATTGGGCAGTGCAAACATAGAGCACTTTTATCATCAATCATCACAGTGCTTCTCTAGGTGATTGCTGCTTCTGAGTCATCTTCTTAAGATGTAAGAAAATAAAAAGATATAGTATTTTGTATGGTTTTATTTTTTATGTTTAACCTACAAAATGTATTTAACCTCAAAGTATGAGGAAGAAAATTTTTTTCTAAATGAATACTCCAGCTCTTCTCCACGGATTTAAAATAACATCATTACGTTATTATGTAATAAACAAACTAGTAGACATTGAATTCCATGAAGACAGTATTTTTTTCACCACAGTATTGCCAGCAGTTAATATACAGTAAGTCTTTAATAACTATATGTTCAGTGAATGAATATTTTCTATTCTTATTTATATTTGCATTTGTTTCTGGATATTATATGCTGATTTTTTCATTTATTTCTTCTGGCTCTCATTCTATACTATTTTTGTTATTTACTATTTATGATTTGTTATTACAGATGTATTTAGCCATTCTTTTATGTAGATTCAATACTCCCTACTATTCTCCTTTTTCAAAAAATTCCCTGCTATTTTTCCATATTAACTCCTCTAATCTTTACTGCATGATCTAGAATATTTTAGCTGTAACCAGCTACTAAGTCAGGATATCCCTAGAACAGGACCTCATTACCCCCATGGAATCCTACTCTTCAGTGCCTACAGAATGCCTGAAAAACACTCCTGCCCTAGCTGACCCACACTTTAATACTCAAGACACAACAAATCCCACTCCTCAAAATCACCTTGAGCAAGCAACCCTGTCATGTGTCAATACTACAACTAAGACTTCCCCAAGTAGTCCCTGTCTACTTTTCAAACCCAGGTCTGTGGAAAAGCTCTAAACTGTTGGTCACATCTGAACACCCACCTTGACCTCAGTGAATCACTTCACTTCCCTACAGGGAAGACTTTCAGATTCCACCAAGGAGTGTATTTTTGCCTCTTGAGACCTCCCAACAGAACACCTAACCCGCAGGAAGTGCTAAACTGTTTCTTGAATGAAGATGAAAATTCTGGCTGAGAAAAAAAAAAGGAGGCTCAGTGGGTTTTGGGGGACCTCCTTTTACTAGACTGGAGAACATGAGGACCAGGTCACTGAATGAATGGAATTTTAGAATGGGAAATTTCAGAAGAAAAGCAAAATGTTCATATAAAATCTGAAAAACAAGGCATTTCAGAGAAGAGAGTAGAAAAGCTTCCTTACCTCAGGCATGGCTTTAAGAATTTAGGACAGCCCTTCTGTCCTCCTCCTTCTGGCTTCTCTTTGGGAGAAGGGCAGTGTCCAGAGAAAACAGAGCTGGAGAGGGAGAAAGAAAACATGAAATGCTGGGCCTGCCCTCAGCTCCCAGCATCACCAGCCTAGATACTCTCCTTTCCTTCTCTGTGCACTTCTCCCCAACCACAGACGTAGATACGAGGTGTCACTGCATTGGTCATTCCTATCTAAATTTATAATTCTTTCACCTATGTGCTTTATTTTTTGAAGTATAGTTGATTTATAGTGTTATATTAGTTTCAGGTGTTCAACATAGTGATTCAATATTTTTATAGATTATACTCCACTTAAATCTCCCACGTGCTTTAGATCTCAATATGCAACATAAACTTTCTGTGCTTAAGATACCTCGTTTATATTTATAAGAAGTAACAGTATTTATCCTTCAGAATGGCACTGCCAAATAAGGATAATTCCCCCTTCACACGTGAAGGCTATTCATCAGTGAAATCATCCAATGCCTCATGGTAATTAAGTAATTGAGCCCAACTGGAATCCAGGTCTGACTCATTAGTCTTTCCACCAGATGATGACATTGAAAGGAAATGTGTCCCCACCCTTTCTACAAAGATGAGAGATAAAACTACAAAGTGAATGCCTCAGAGAAAGCATCTTTACACAGAGTAGGCATCAGAGGGATCATGTGGTCTGGAAGACACTGGACCAAAAAGAACATATTGCTTCTGGTCCTGGCTTATAATAAAATGCACCTGAAAACCAATCTCTCAACTTTTCTAAGAAATTTCCTCAGAAGGGGCTGGGGGGAGGGATATGCAGAAACAGTCACTGCAACCCCTTAATCATTAATTATTTTCCACTAAACTTCACTGCCTTGGAGAGTAAAGAAATTATCTCAGAAGCAGCATAACTTAGTGGTAAGAACAACTAGGTTTGTGGATCAGAATGCTCAGACATCTGATCCACCACTCAACTGGCTCTGCAGCCTCTATTCCAAACCTCAATCTCCTCATCAACAGAGTAGTACCTACTCTCTATCAACGGTTGGGAGGGTCATAAGATGATCCATATCAAGCATTTAGCGCAGTACCTGGTCGATAAATATCATTCAATCATTAATTTTCATAAGTAGCACACAGTAGGTCTCCCCGTCCTTTTTTCTCTTCGATTCCTCACTAGGAGAGGGACGGAAAGACCTTCTGTGCCAGAGAGGACTAAGGTCCAGCAGCTCAGTCTTCTGCTCTCCAGGCCCGAGGCTTTCTCCTCCTCTCCAGCTCTCTTCCCCTCTCCCACTCTCCTCTCCGTAAACCCCATCTCTTCCCCTTCATCTCAATCTCGGTCTTCCCGCTACAAGTCTCCCAAATCCTGGAGCACACTGGCCTCCCAAAGCATCCACACAGCCTCCCAGCCACCACACAAACCCTCATGCTGGCAGCTCCCCTGGCAGACTGTGGACATGCTCCCGAGCTGTAGCTTGCCCACCCCTCGCAGTGAGTCACACAGTCACTGACATGATGACACATGGTGCCATATACTGTCACACACTCCTAGGGTCACACAATCTCAAGCAGTCTCATGTGAACACAGCTGCACGTTCACTGTTACAGAAACTGTCACACACATTCTCAAATTCTGTTCACACACCGTCTCACAGAGCCCCATACACAAGGTCACACACACAGTGACACTGTAACACACGGTCCCATACACGGTCACACTGTTCACACACAGTTACACGGTTTCCCTATCACATTCTCAGACACTGTCACACATTCTCCCTCGGTCCCACACAGCCTCACACACTGTCACACGGCTTCACTCTGTTCAAACACGGTCACACACACCGGACCCAGGCTCCCACCGTCACAGGCCCCCTCACACGCCCGCTCCCGCCCGACAGGCCTGCCCAGGTGCGCGCACTCACCCCGGGCTCCTCACCGCTTTCTCCCCGAGAGTCGGCACTTCGTTCCGCACCGTTCGCGGAGACTGGGAGCTGAGCGCTCTGCGGCCGGGGCGTGGACTCGATCTCGGGCCCGACGGGCGGACTCACAAAGGGGCCAAAGCGCTCGGGCAGGCTGTCGGCGCCAGCCGCAGTGGCTGCTGGGAAATGGAGTCCGGGGCCAGGCGCGGTGCGGCGCGGAGCATCCTGGGACTGCTCGCCGCGGGGGGGCCGGGCAGACAGCTGCTTCCTGCCTCGTCCTTTCGCGTCGTCTCTGCCACGCTCCTTAAACACCCCGACCTTGCGACCCAGAACTCGCACTCGCCCCGCCCTCTCAGGCCGTCCGACCCACCGCCCCCGCCACCGAATCCAGCCCGGACCTGGATTGGCCGGCTCGAACTGCGCAGGTGCAGCTTGCTCGCGTCGCGGAGGCGTCCAGGCTCGGTGCACGCGTCGGCCGCGAATAGCGGACGCGGCTGTGTTGCGCATGCGCGGTGGTCGGGCTCGCGCCCGGGCGCAGCAGGTGGGGCTCCAGGCCCGGTGCTGGAAAAACGCAGCTGGTTGAGGCTGGGTGTGAGGGCTGGGGCCCGCCGGAGGGGGGGACCCCGGGAGGATGCGGGCGTAGTTAAGAGATAATGTGCTCGGGATTTCTTTCTTTGCTCTCTGTTTCTTCTGTCCTCCCTATCCTTTCATTCGCCACTTATTGAGCGACTACTGTGTGCCAAGCACTGTTGTAGATGCTGGGGACGCAACTGTGAACGTGCAAAAATCCCCACCCGTGGAGCTGACATTTTATTATGGGAGAAATTTAATAGGAAAAAAAAAGGTACTAATATATACTGGGAATTGATACGCGTTATAAAGAAAAGCAAAACAGAGTATAAACATCATTCTTTCAGTTCTTAATTCTTTGTTACACCCTCTGGTTTCTATTAAATCTATGTCTGAAAATACTTCATAAACTTCTATCTCTAGTCCTAACCCACATTCATTCCTCACCTCTTTAGAAATTTTGTTATAAGATGCAGAGCTTCAATGTAACTTGTCTCACCGAAGTAACCAATGACAAAAAGCAAATAAGCTGGTAATTTTTATATTGAGGAAATGTAAAACTGCAAATGTTATATTCACAAAGTTATTGAAACACTGTATATAGTAATAAAATGTTGAATATAAACAATATGGCTAAAAATAGAGAAGTAAATAAATAACTACATCTGTTTGAAACTATACAACATAAAAATAATCGTGTGATGATGAAGCAACCTGTAGAAATATTTCTTAAGTTTTGTTCTGAGGAGGAACAGAGCTGTTACAATTACACTAAGATTGCAAAATTGGAAAACTGTTCCTATGTATAAAAAAGTAAAAGGAGGGGCTTCCCTGGTGGCGCAGTGGTTGAGAGTCCGCATGCTGATGCAGGGGACACGGGTTCGTGCCCTGGTCCGGGAAGATCCCACATGCCGCGGAGCGGCTGGGTCCGTGAGCCATGGCCGCTGAGCCTGCGCGTCCAGAGTCTGTGCTCCGCAACGGGAGAGGCCACAGCAGTGAGAGGCCCGCGTACCGCAAAAAAACAAAAACAAACAAACAAACAAAAAAAAACATATCAGTAAACGTCCAGGTTTTTGCAGCCTTTTCCACATTTCACAAATGTATGAAGAAATTGGGCATATTTAGCCTGAAGAAGATAGGTGATGACATTTTTCGTTTTCAACCATTACCTTTTAAGCTCCTTCTGTTGACAGAACCCTCTACAAAGCTTGTATCAAAATCTACTGTGACTTGCATAAAAAACACATTTATCATTTTCAAGTCGATAATCAGCAAACAGATGTCTGCCTAGCATATCTAAATTTAATGTAATAATCTAAGTACATAATCTTGAGTATTAGAGATAGAATATGGAATCCGAGACAGAAGGAACCATTTATTTTTCCCTCACTGTCACAATGAAGATACATTTATTTTTTCATGGGTTAGTACTGGAGCAAATTTAAGTCTGTACTTTAAGGTTTGTAAGAGGTGTGAGGTCAAAGTTCTCTCTTTTTTCTTATGTGGCTATGGATGTCTAATGGCTCCAGCATTGTTTGTTGAAAATGCTGTTCTTCCTCCATTAAATTGCTTTTGCAGCTTTATCAAAAATTCAGTTCTGGGCTTCCCTGGTGGCGCAGTGGTTGAGAGTCCGCCTGCCGATGCAGGGGACACGGGTTCGTGCCCCGGTCCGGGAAGATCCCACATGCCGCGGAGCGGCTAGGCCCGTGAGCCATGGCCGCTGAGACTGCACGTTCGGAGCCTGTTGCTCCGCAACGGGAGAGGCCACAACAGTGAGAGGCCCGCGTACCGCAAAAAAAAAAAAAAAATTCAGTTCTGACAAGGACTTGTATCCAGAATATGTAAAGAATACTTAACAAGTAACTAATAAAAATACAATTAACACAATTTAAAAATGGGCAAAGGATTTGAATAGACATTTCTCCAAAGAAGATAAACAAAGGGTCCAAAAGCACATAAAAATATGATCAGCATCATCAGTCCTTGGGGAAATGCAAATCAAAACCAAAATGACTTACCACTTCACACCTATTAAGATGGCTAGAATCAAAAAGTCAGATAACAAGTGCTGGTGAGGATGTGGAGAAACTGAACCCCTCATACATTGTTAATGGGAATTTAAAATGAAGCAGCTGCCTTGGAAAAACATTCCAGAAGTTCCTTAAAAAGATAAAGATATAGAGTTACTATATGAACGAGCAATTTCAGTCCTAGGTGTATACCTAAGAAAAATGAAAACATACATGCATGCAAAAACTAGTACACAAATTGTTCATAGCAGCACTATTCATAATAGCCAGAGTGGAAACAACACAAATGCCCCTATTATTCAGCCATCGAAAGTAATAAAAGTAATGAAGTACTGATACACACACTACATGGATGAACCTTGAACATCACACTATGTGAAAGAAGCCAGTCACAAAAGACTACATATTGTATGAGTCTATTTATCTGAAATATCCAGAATAGGCAAATTTCAGAAAGTAATTAGTGGTTGCTTTGGAATGATGGAGGAGATGAAGAATGAGCACTAATAGATAGAGGGTTTCATTTTTGTGGTGATGAAAATGTTTTAAATTTAATTGTGATAGTTACATAACCCTGTGAATATACTGAAATACCATTGAATTGTATGCTTTGAATAGGTGAACTTCATGGTATGTGAATTATATTTTCAATGAAATTGTTAAAATAAGTTCAGCATACAGTGAGGGTTTACTTCTGGTTTCTCTATTCTGTTCCATTGACCTATGTGTGTATTGATTACTGTAGCAATACAGTTAAGCACTGATATTGGGTTGAGTTCTCCCACTATTCTTTGTCAATATTGTTTAGCTATTTTACAGCCTGTGCCTTTCCATGTAAGTTTTAGGAAAAGTTTATCTTATATCTACAAAAAAAAAAAACCCTTTCTTTTTTTCTTTCTTTCTGCTTGGTTTGGGTTTATTTTTGCCCTTCTAGTTTCTTGATGTAGGAACTTGGAATATTAATTAAGACCTTTCCTTATTTCTAATGTAAGCATTTAGTGCTCTAAATTTCCCTCTTAGCCCTGCTTTAAATACATCTTACATGTTTTGTTAGGTTGTTGAAAAGAAAACCTACATTCCTGTGTGTCTCCTTTCTTCTCACAGAGAACACTTCACTACACTTCTGACAACAGATGTGTGAGGGTGCCCCCCCACACACACACCAAGCAATTCTGCAACACCAGCTGGGTGTCCTAGAAACTTAACTCAATTCTGACACTATCCACCTGGAGATAGCATCAAATCCCAGAGATTAAGGGTTCAGTCCCATGAGACTGCCAATCACAAACCCCAGTTGTCACCTGTGTTTCTGACCAATCAGCTATAATTTGGAGGCTCCATGACTCTCCTCCTCAAGTTTGATTAATTTCCTACAGTGGCTCACAGAACTCAGGAAAACAGTTTACTTACCGTTTACCCATTTATTATAAAAGGGTATGATAAAGGGTACAGATGAACATCCAGATGAAGGAGGCTCATTGGGTAGGTGGTAAGGGCCAGCTTCCTGGTTCACAGACTGCCATCTTCTCACAGTAACCTCACATGATGGAAGGGGTGGGGGAGCTTTAGGGGCCTCCTTTTGAAGGGCACAAATCGCATTCATGTGGGTTCCACCCTCGTTACCTAATCACCTCCCAAAGGCCCCACCTCCAAATACCATAACATTGAGGACTGGCTTTCAACTTATGAATTTGGGAAGGGGTGGGGGGGCATTCAATCTATAGGACTGAGCAAATAAAATCTACTCACTAGGAAAAAAAAAACCCACTATTTATCTAGAAGGTAGACTCAGTAGGCTTTGGCATCTGATTGGATGAAGGGAGGGTAATGAGGTAAGAGTCAAGGGTACCACCTAAGTTTCTTGTATAAGTGGACAGAGGTGCCAGGTGGTTTAGTTGCACAACTCCATAAGTCTGCTTAAACACAAACACAGTCCTCTGAAATAAGGTCATATAATCATAGACTGAATAGACTTATATGTGAAGATAACAACAGAAGCTATAAAGACAATAGCCAAAGATGAAAAGAGATCTAGGTAAAATACTTGACAATTTGAGGGAAATTAAAGACCTTCTCAAATAATTAGAGGACTCAAATTTGTATTACCTATAAAACTTTCTTTACAAATAAATATATATTTAAAATATTAAAATACTGAAACTATGTTTGAATTTTCTACCAGCGAGAGAGATGCAATCTGAGAACCATATATAGTGTTGTCAGTAATAACAGTAAAACACAGGGTTAATTATGAATAACTGCTATTAATGGAAAAGAAAAACACAACAAAAGTATACAAACCAAAAACCCCACAGAGTTTCGTTTCCTTCTTTATAGAGATTGTATGTCAGAAAAGTTATGGGAGGCGTCCATGGTCATGGTCATACAGGGAGGGAGTAGCTAAGATAGGGTTAGAATCAACTCTGTTGTTTCTTCCATTCCTTATTCCATAAACATTCCCTGCAAGACATGGCCTCCCCACAGCTGATTTCATTCATGTGATAATGGCAGGTCCCATCATGGAGAGAAAGAATATAGCAAAACCACGAATGTAGCTGAGGGTTTATAGAAGAGGAGAGCTAGAGTTACTATGTATGTATTTTGGCACAAGAGAGGGTACAGGGTAATCTCTTGGGAAGTGGTTGACAAGGCAGCTGTGGATCTGATAGAATGGAGAGGAATCAAGACATTCATGTACTCTTGCGTGAACAAAAAAGGAACAAAGAGTATCACTCATCATCCAGTTATACAAGGGTTAAGTCTCAACCCATTGCAGTCACCCACCAACAGTGCACCCCGAGGAGAAATGAGGATGAAAAACCAGTATGAGACACTTAGTGCTTTGGCAAAACAGGCCCTTATGACAGTTAAGATGCATATCTCAGGAAGCATTTCAATGACCCCAGACTCTTGCATCTTCCCATACATAGAAAAGCACTGAAATCATTTATGTGAGATATCTGTTCTTTGTGATTAGCAGTAATCTTTTACCAGGATGTATGCTTGGTTGCATGTATATCCTAGCCCCTCAAAATCATACATATACTGGGGCTCCTCCTCTACACCTCTTGGGAGCTCTGAGTTCACTCAGAGCTACTGAGTGTCTCTCGGGCTATCCAGTTAAGACTGAATAAAACTTAAATTCACAACTCTCATGTTGTACATTTTTAGGTCAACACTTGAAAGAAACTGTGGTAGTCAGCCTCCCAAATGGCCCTCAATGATACTTGCCTCCTAGTACTCATACCCTTGTGTAGTCTCTGCCCATACTGACTCAGTCAGAACTGGTCTACGTGACCAACAAAGTATGGTGGTGTATGACTTCTGATGAAATAAAAATTCACGCTTTATGGCAAGCCAAGAAAAATTTAAAAACAAAATTTTTCTTTGCCCTTTTGGGCTTCCTCCCTCCCCTTTATTGTGAATTGTGCATCTGCATTAACCAGACCTCGTTAGGAGATAACCTTCCTTCTTATCTCATAAAGGGTCACAACTCCTTAGGAGAGAGCCTTCCTTCTCAATCTTATAAGGGGCATGATGAGCCATGACTGATGACTTGCTTTGTGTAGATCTGGATTGTGTAAGCAGTCAATGTCATCTGATATAATGACACGTATAATACATATAACCTTTTGTCTCAAAAAAATTACATAACTCTGCTTTGACCTCTAACGGGTGGAACAGTCCTCAGAGCTTTCTGAAAGAGTGTCTCCCCAATTATAATCCTCAGGTTGGCTTGAATAAAATTTTCCATTGCTTTCTTAGATCAACCGTTAATTTTTTCATCAACACTTGGTCATAAAAGTCATTGCAGCT